AATATAGTCTTTGATGGCCACTAATTTTAAATATTTGTCAGATTTTTGTTGTGGATAATAAGTACATGAAAATGTCCTAAAATGCAACGCTCGTCCGTTCTTAATGATACGCAACGGTGATACGATGTAAGCGGATACGCGGGTTAATAAGTAACCCTTTTTCTTTCGCCGTCTTCATCTTCTACCCGCGGCGCGAGTTCCGGTTCTGGCAGCTGTTGCCAATTCAGGACCGCGGTGATCGGTCAAGGGTGAGCATCGAGCACACACACCAGCCAGTGTAACGCGCTGTAACGTAACCTGGTGGATGTCGAACCGGTTTCAAAGCGGGGTGGAAGAGAAATTTCGAGGGAAACGAGTCGGAGCCGCGCAAAAAATTCATTTGAATCGCCCCTTAGGGTCGTGCAGAGGTGTCGAAATAATTGGATTTTAATTTTCCTAACGGCGAAACAACAAAAACCCGCCTCCTTTCTCTCCGCCGCTCTTGATCGAGGATCATGAGAATCCGACCAGTGTTTATGTAACGCTGCATTCACGTTTTCGACTTTCCATATTCTTCAACGCTCCCCCTTTTGTTTTCCCACGGGCCACACGTATGAATATTGACGCGATTTCATAATTGTCAAGTGCCTAAATATACAATTGGGAAATGGGTGGGAAGTAATTATTTATACCGTGAATTTACTGTTTCATTGGATTGTGAATTAAATGATGAATTCTGGAAAATTAAAGGATTAATGAAGTACGTGAGCCAATAATATGATATCATTTATTCAGGATGGAATCATTCTGTCTCATTTTTTTTAAATCAAGAGCTTCCCTGACTCAAATGCTCGGATTAAGTGCGTACACTGTACAACGAATAATAAGTGTCTTAACCATCTTGTCCCGGAAGAAGCGACGGCAATAACGGTGCCGTACCTCTCCCCGGCGGTAGATTCCAGGAAACGTTACAAAGGAGGCGAATGTTTTAATTAAATCTCGGTTAAAACGCGAAAACTTCGGCATCGCGCGATGCGGAAGGTTTTTGCGAATTTTCCAAAAGTTTCGCGAGTCGCTTTCAAGGTGGCGATGGACGACGCGGGCTGGACGGAGGCTGGGACCAGCCACGGCCACTTACCATCCCTCGGCCGACGTTTTCCACCTTTCCCCATTCATCCGGCGGGCGCGGTTTACCGGGAATAAAAGAAGTCGCGGAAACAAAAGAACCGCGCGGCTACTTAGCCGAGTACAAATTGTTGCTTTCGCGCTACCCGAGCCCCTAGGACCGAAGGGAATTTAAAAGTTTCCACCGAACTTCCTCCTTTTCACCTCCATCGTTCCCTTCACCCCTCCCCGTCCCGATCGTCTTCGAACGTCGTGGGACGGACTGGATTCGCGTTCACGGCTCGTTAGCCGTGCTTCCTTTACCTTCGTTTCGGTTCTGCCACGTAAAAGGACAGCGCCATGTACGTTTCAGGGTATGGATGTGGTAGGCGAGTATCGATCGCGACGGAGACCGTCCCATTAAATCGGTTGCATCGTGCGTGGAATACGCGTATGAAACAATTAAACGCGGCATTGTCTATCGCGGGGCTCTATACTGAGTACCGTTGCTCTAGAGACGCTCGGTCATCTACCTATTAGTATACGGATCTTTCCCATATACAAGATTCCTCAAGTAAAGCTTCGCCCAAGCAAGTGGTATTTATTTAGTCATTTTTTCTAGAAATCAGGTGGATCTTGAACCGCCACGGCGGTCAACAGTAGTTTTGTTCATTTTCTTAGACGTACAACGAATTAGTGTATCAAGCAGATTTTGAAATGAAATTAAAATGTGATTCCCTAATCAAATGTTTACTGTAAACATATCAATGTGGTAAGACGAACCGGTAGATGCCAATTTTTACTAGTTAAAAAGTCAAACAACTATCAACGCTTCAGCTATATTTCTTATTTAAAGTTTTAATTGATTCTGTAATTTAGTACACGAAGTTTGTTGCGCACTAGTGGAAACATTATTTTTATATTATAATCAGATTTTTATATCTTGTATTGATTCTTTCCTCGGAATTACTTTAATCCATTTCGGTTAATGAACGTTTGTTCTAATTGGAAATACGTGTGCATATAGAATCCTCAACGAATGCTATTAATCAGTTAAAACTAGCATCAACCAGTTCTGTGATATTTATAATTTTATAAAGAAGCGCATACACGCACGTAGAACATGCCAGCTAGCCAAAATAGAAAAACACTGACGACAAAATGTGAACGAAATTAATAGAGTGATTCGTTGATGAAACACTCAAAAGTCCAAAAGAAAAGAAAAAGCGAAATCGCTGAACGTGCGGGAAGAAATTAAAAAAAAAAGATGAGAGAGAGAATACAGATAGAAGTTATGAGACTACGTCGAGCCTGTGAACGAGTCGAGGGAATAAAAAAAAAAGAAGTTGCAGGAAGCTGTATGTGACGAAAGGAGAAAATAAATGTAAAGGGGATTTTGAACGGGCTGAGTGTTCAACTCACTCGTTGCAGGGTGGACCAGCATTCCTCGATGGTGATGTTGCCCATTCCTCCGCCTCCGCCGGCGCCTCCCGCACCGCCGAGTCCCGCCGCAGAGGCACGAGACTATCGGGCAAGACAGGAGCCTCGTGTTAGTTCACTTTTGCGCTTTCTTCCCTATTTCTTTTCATCTACCCCCTCTATCGTCGGCGACAATACAAAATTTCGATCATCGCTCCTACCGCTAAGTTAGAGTAATTACAATACGGTGACTGTCTTCCGTTTGTCAGAATAACTAGGAATTCTCCTGCGGTGATTTGGAAAGCGATGAAGAAGATTTGTATAGATTCGTTGAAGTGGGTTGTGGAATTTTTGAAAATAAATTGTGAAATTCTCGAATTTGTAAAGAGTTCGAAAATATTCTTCTATCGATCCTGTATTTGAGAATAGCCAATTAAATGCGAGATACTGATTAAAAAACAGAGAGGTTGTCCAGATTTGTTCGTTCGGTAGATTCTGTAGATAGGATCCCGAGTTATTTATATTTCCTCTAGATATTTATATAAAGTACAATCATTTGCAAATTCTCTACAGTACTAAATTAAGAATTTTAAGTTTAGTACGTCATTTGTTAATTACCATAGACATTATTAAATTGTCATATTGAGTTGATCGTGCCGAACAGTGCACTCGATTATCAATTAACGTATTACATACGCCTACAGCAAATATTGCGTCACCTGGAACGCGGGAGCATGTCTGTGACACGAAATTAAAAGATTTACTTTTAACGATTATTCAAACATCCTCTTATATCGACTAAATATTTAACATATCCAGTATATAAATCATCCTACTGTATGTAAAAAAATCGTGAAACAATGCGTATAAGTGTACATAGATAATTGTAAGGCAGTGAACATTTCTAAAGTCCAGTTAAGTGTTTTTCTCTGTATTAACATAGACAGTATAATGAGAAACAATCTTATCGTAAGTACGAACAGAAATATAGAACATAAATGACAATAAAAGAAGAGGCATCAGTTGAAAGCTGTTGCCTCATAATCATAATTAAAAACGAAACGGAATATGAAAAAATGTGTTCCCAGATAAATAACCGGATTGTTGCGTAAAGCGAAATAAGTGTTCGGATTCGGATTAGCTTAATGTCGTTTTCGGACGTAGACGAGGGACGCGCGTCGCGTCGCGTGGATATATTTACAGTGTTTCCTCGTATCGGGGCTCGCGGGCTGCGGCATCGCAGAAGCACGCCGCGATATTTTCTCGTGAACATCTTCTCGGCCGTACCGTATGACGTATGCGCGTATAGTATTATCTGTGTTGCGCGGGTCAAGAACCCCGGGTACGACGACGACGACGACGACGACGACGGCAACGGCGACGAGGACGACGAGGACGAGGAACAGCGACGCGTGTATGCACGTATACTGCGTGACACACGGGTCTGTGTATCCGCATCTGTGGCCGCATCGGTGTGCGTGGGCCGCGTTTGCATTTGTGGCCCCGTGACTCTCTCTCTGAGCGTGTGCGTGCCTCCGCTCTTTGTAAGTACGCGCGCGCGAACATTCACTCTCTCTTGCTCTCCCTCTCTTTCTGTGGCCCGCACGCTCACTCTCCCTCTCTCGCGTTTCTCGTCTTTCTATGTGGTACGCGTCTACGTGTGCACGGGAGATGCGGTAAGTCAACGTATTCAACGGCGTGCGTGTGAACCGTGGTCAGTGTATCTCGGTACAGTCGCGGATTCAACCAGTCAGCGAAATTGTCGATGATGTACGTACGCCGCGATTTATTGAAAGTCATCCAGTTAAGCCGATACGGACGTTTTCCCCGTATCCTGTCTTCGCTCGTGACACCACTGACACGTATTTCTTTCCAATTTCCCTGCATCTTTTTTTTTCCCCTCCCAACGCGTTACACGCGATTCAAACGGCTCGTTTGTCATTCTCGTACGCATTCCTTTTTTTTTTATCGAAGAGTTGATTGAATTTATAGGTAGAACGCGGTCAAAGATCAGATCTTAGAATAGCTAACGTCGTTATCGACGAGAGAAACGGGAGTACGTAGAAGATTCAGTGGAAAGATCGCGAGACGTATTTTTCAGTTGGTATTGTTTCGAAGTATTGTCAATCGGCCCAAGTGAATGACCCTATTTATCGGCGCATTATATGCACTTTTATCGCGGTCGCCTCGTCCCAGTTATTTATCTCTCCACTCCGCAGTTAGAGATGACAGAGTGAGAGAACTCTAACCGAGATCAGGAAAATAAAAGCAACATAAAGAACTCATAGAATAAAAAAAGGAAACCAATAAAACCTACCCTCCGCCACCATTATGTACACAGATGAATCATATTAAGTTCTCACCTGCAGCTCGTTGACGAGTTTCTCCGTGATGCTGGCGTCGTGCGAGTCCTGGCTGGTCGCTCCGGGACTCAGCATCGAGTTCTGCGAGTTTTGTTGCTGATTCGTCGACATGTTCATCCCGGCTAGAGCGCCGTTCTGCGCGATGCTGCCAGCCATGCTCAATGCTTGTTGTTGCAAGTTCTGTGACAGATTCTGTGCCTGCTGTTGCAAATTTTGCGTCAGGTTCTGCGCTGCCTGTTGCTGGAGCGCCTGCTGGCTCAAACTCTGGCCGAGATTCTGGGTCAAATTCTGCGCCTGCTGTTGCAACGATTGCGACAGGTTCTGCGCCTGACTCTGGATGTTCTGTTGCAGGTTCTGGCTCGCCTGGCTCAAATTCTGTGGTTGGTTCAGCAACTGTTGCTGCTGCTGTGGCGACAGATTCGGCGTGAGACTCTGCGCGAGGTTGTGTTGCAAAGTTTGGCCGAGGTTCTGTTGCATGTTCTGTGTCAACGCCTGGGTCAGCGCCTGTCCGAGGTTTTGATTCAACGCCTGAGCCGCTTGGACCGCCTGGACGGCCAAAGACGGACTCGAGGATTGGGACATCGTCTGCTGTGCCTGTGCAAGACTGTGCAGACTCTGGGCCATGCTGGACGCGATCGCGCCTTGGTGGTCGGCCTGCGGCGAGGGTGTCGTCGGCGCCGGCGAGGACTGATGTTGTCCACCCTGACCAGTTTGCTGGCCCATCGACATCGCGTGCTGCTGCTGTTGCTGCAACTGTGGACTCCCGGTCTGTCCTAGTCCCGAGCCACCGGTCTGCTGTACTTGCGGCACGTTCTGTTGTTGCTGCTGCTGTTGCTGCTGTTGCTGCTGCTGCTGCTGCTGACCCAGAGGACTGTGCATTTGTTGCACTTGCTGATGTTGCTGTTGTTGGGAATTCGATATAGGACTATGCTGTATCCCGGGTGAGTGCTGAGGCGGCCCTCGCTGCGGCTGCTGCCAATAGTCCGACATCTTAAAGACGTGTTGTCGCAACGCGTGAAGGTTCGCGGCCGCCGCGGTGACGGCCGACGTTTGGACCTCCATTGGTTCCGGTTCGTTTTCGAGGTCCGGTTCCGGGGAGCTGCAAGGATCCTCGTCCTCCTCCTCGTCCTCCCTCTCGGTAATATCTTCGTCGTCCTCGTCGTGGATCCTGACGGTCCTCTCCGGCTCGTGACCTCCCCCAGCAACACCAGCAACACCAACACCGGCGGTTCCGCCGGCGCCACTTCCGCCGCCGCCACCTCCACCGGGTCCACCGCCACCACCTCCTCCTCCGCCTCCTATCCCACCCCCCGAATCGCCAGAGTGGAGATGATTCCCCGGGTGATGCTGGTGATGATGTTGCTGTTGAAGGTGATGGTGCGTACGCGAATCCGGATTTTGACCCAGCTGTTGCTGTTGCTGCTGCTGCTGATGTTGATGCTGCTGCTGTTGCGGCTGTTGTTGCGCTTGCTGCTGCGGATTGTGTTGCTGCTGTTGGTGTTGTTGCTGTTGCTGTTGCTGCTGCTGCTGCGGATGGTGATGCTGTTGTTGCTGGTGGTGATGGTCCAAGCCAAAGTCGGTTTGGGCTTGCGTCTGGGCACGTAGGTCCAGGGCCGCCGTCGCGTCCGAAATTTTGAGGCCTTCGCGAGAAGCCCGGGCTACCCCCTTCCGGCGCAGCTTGCCCGCTTTTTCGCACCCCTTCCGGTAAGCAGCTCGACGGCCGGCACACTTCCGCGCTCGCCGCCGTTCCTTCCTATCGTCTCCTCGTTCTTCTAGCCTTTACGCCGCGCGTCCTGTGTTATCGCGCGTAGCCTGTTAGGCCCGAGGATCCTCTCCGTCCACGAGCACGGAGAACGATCCCTTTCGTTCGACGTGGGCGGCGGGCAACGTCAGTTACTCGCCACCTGCTTCGACTTCCCGGGCCTGCTGCCACCCGCTACTTCGCTCATGAAACTTCTCTTGCCCGTACACCTTCGGCCCTACGATCCTTTTTTTTTTCTTCTTCTTTTACCACTGCCGAGCGGATTATCCTCGGCTTCTCTCACTCGTCGTAGTCACAGTTTCGCCGGCTCGTTACTCGCGTTGTTGTTCGCGAACACCAACGTAATTTCCCACTTCGCTTGATTTTAAGGAAAGTAGCGATCGCTCCCGTAACGTGATCTCACTTTACAGATTTTCGTCACTGATTCGTGCGTCTCCGTAGTTCGGTGGTTCTTCTCTCCTTCTTCTTCTATTCTTTTTTTATGCTTCTTCTTTAGCTCCTCCTTCCACTGGTCTGCATTGATACTTTTTTATGTGTGGGTGTGTGTTTATGTGTGTGGTCGTGTGTGTATTCGATGAATCGATGCGCGCTCAATTCGGACGTTCCCCGGTAGAAACCCTCGGAGAACAGCCTATTTCCTTTGTTCTATCTAACTTAAAGTCTATCGTACACTTAAGTTTAGGTTAAAATTCACGATTGCCCAGCCCGGACGGTGTGAACGAGAAGGACAGTCCGTGCGGACGCGAATCGCGACGTAATGCGATTTGAATATATCGGTCGAAAGGTCCTCTTCGGAGTCGTGGTCCTCAAGCTGGATCACCGCGCTCCCGGGTGTCGGAAATCTCACCTCAGCGGATGATCGCTGCTCGTCCCGTTTTGCCCTGAGTAGTTCTAGTAGCCCCGTTTATGTGCGTGTATGTGTGTGCGTGTGCGACGCGGAACGCTCGCGAGCCCTTTATTCCCTTGTTGCCCGATCGGTTGTTCGTCGAAAAAAAGGGCGCCGCGTGTCGATAGCGCGCGCGAGTGTGCGTGATACTCTGTGTGATATCTTTGAACCGGGACGGCAGTTCCTCTTCCCTCGGCGATTTCGGTCACTCCGTTCGCGTTCGTCGAAGACGATCTTCCTGGTCCGTCGATTATATCAGCGATTTCTGCTGTTGTCGACTCTCTGTCTTCCACGTTCGTTCAACGACCGTTTTTATACCCTTTCGTCCGTATTTCCTTCTCGCGTCCGTTCACGAATCCTCCTCGAAATGCGACTCTAGGGTATTATTTTTTATCTCTTCATTAACTCTTTAAAAGGAATTCTATTCGATTATCGATTAAACCGCTCGTCGTTTACCGATATATCGTCGATGGTAGTTGTGGTTGTTTCTTATTATCGTTTAGGTTTAATAATATTGCACTTAGGTACACTCGTTTTTTGAACACACTGAAATATATATGTATGCGGCGCGAGGTTCTTCTCTAACGAGCTTCTTCTTCTTCTTCTATCTTCTTGATCACTCGATTCTTCCTCTTCTGCTCCTTCACGTCCAGATCTACCCTCGATTTCAGATCTCTCTATCTCGTTATCTCTTTTCACTTTTCCCTCTACTCCTTTTTCCTATCTCTCACTTCGCTGTCAAATCACTTCCGTCGCAAAACAAACCCCGCTTCTATGCGTCTCGCTTTCGCTCTTCTTTTGCTCTTGTGTTCCTCCGCTTCTTCTGCTTCGCTCGTCTTATTCTGCTTCTTCCGCTTTGTCCAGTCTTCCTCTCCTGCGCGGGTATCTCTTGCTGCAACGCGTCTCCCGCTCGAAGCTGCAATTCAGAAAGAAGAACGATATTTTTATCCCGCTCGAGTCTCTCACCGGCGCGACGCGACGCGTGCCGTTAATCGGCTTCGACGAACGTTTATCACTATCACTATCATTTGGAGGAAATACGCGTTTGATTAACAGTATGCATGCAACGATGTTCTAGGCTATCACCGGCGGGCTGCAAACACGCCTCTTTGACGAGCTCGCACTGAACGCGACCGAAATCTCGTTTAAGGATTTGTTCTGTCACTCGCGAAGAAAACGCTCTCTTCTCATCGTATTCACTGACACACGAGCTCTCTTCGAACGTCCGTCGCGAAGGGTTTTCCTCAATAAACCAAAAATCACAATTGCCTGATTCCATTCTCATCCCTTCTAATTGTGCCCCGTGTTAATTTTTGATTAATTCGATTGGATATGTATAGAAAAATAGGTGTATCAGTAATGACAGCCACTTCGACACACGATATTGCAATGTGACATGTTGTTACGACGATGATTGAACGAGAACCGAGGATGCTGAGACAGTCTTTCGCTGTACACTTTCAGGAGAAAAATTCTATCTGTCGTCGAATGTTATTCACTCTCGTCTTTTAACGACGATCAGGAATCGATGAGAATTTTGAAAATGGATCACCAATTTTCTACGCGAAGATCGAATTCGAATAGTTGACACTTGGAACTGTCAATGTTCAGTGTTGCACTGTTTCACATTCGGCAATTTTTTTTAAACGACGCTTGCTTGCTTCGTTAGAGATTTATGAATTTTCGTTTGATCGCGACAGGTTCGGTCTTAGAATCGTTTCACGAGAACACGTGTGCCAGGGGAACTCGCCTCGCCGTCGCGTCACGATTTTTCGTTAATTCGCAAAAAATAGACTGCGGATTTGAAGCATGTACACGAGAATTGAATGTACGAAACATATCTGAAGAGGAACACATCGTACGTGTAATAAGATGCGAAACTTTTGCGAGCAACATATTTTAGCAAAAATCATGATCAAAGTGGAACGTCGACTGAACGTAAAAATCCAAATTAAAATACACGTAACGTCAGAAGGAATTTTATGCACATTTCTAAAAATTGACACTTGAAAGATTTGGCACAAAAATCCGCAGTCTAACGATAGTCCGGATGCACTGTAGTTCAAAGTAAAAAGAGGGGTAAGGAGCAATCGACACGAATTTGGTGGAAATTAATGGAAAGAATCGCGATGTCATTTTAACAGTCCTCGCGGTAACACTCGTGGTTTTCACATTGAAACACTGGTCTTTTTTTTCCAAACCGTCCATTAGCGATCCGACGAGTCTTTTGCACGTTTCCCTCTTCCTCTCTCTTTCCATCATTTAACGTAATTAATCGATTAATTGATTGGATAAAACCGAACGAATGTAGCGTGGAATATTAAAATCTATCGCGTTTTTCCATCACGTCAACGACACGGTGAGACGGGATCGAACCACGGTTTAAACTCTTTCAGTGACAACTCGCACGGTCGTATATAATAAAACGTTTGCTGGGCACAAGACAATTTGAGACGTCGAACACGAGAACGGTCGTTGACTCGTTTGTCACGTTCGACGGAGGAAGACAGTTTCCCGAAATCACCTTCGAAATGGGAATCAGCATCGTCTGACGACTCCACTCGAACGATCTCGCGTGGGAACGAGTAAACGAGAAACGACAAATGGGAAGCGAGAGTACTGATAAATAATAATTTTCAGCAGGTCGTTCGAGGAGCGAGGCTGGTCACCCTCGTCTCGTTAATTCCCCGACGCGGGTTCCTCCGTTCGCGTTTCGGCCGTATCTTAACAAGGCACTCCATTTCCGGCCTGACGCCGGGGATTAAGAAAGGATCGAGCCGTCGACGATCGCGACGAAACACTGCAGACGACGATGACGTGGTGTACCGGGCATGTCAGCGAACCGGGATGGAGGGGGTGGATCAACGGTGGTTGGCCGAAAGAGGGGAAAACTGACCAAAATCACGGTGGAAAAAAGGAACGAACAAACGAGGAAAGGAACGAGGACTCTCGCGTCCACCGTACGGGGATCAACCGCGGTCACTTTTTTTCAAAGTCCCGCGCGAGCTGTCAACGGCACTGGGAACACGCGAGAAACGGAGTCGCGGAAGCGATGCGAGAATCCGAGTACTCGAGAGGCAGAAGAGAACGTTTTCTCGGTGCAGAGGCAGAAGTCGAAACATCGGGAGACCGTCGAAGGATACGCGCGTGTCGGTCGTGAACGCACTTGGTCGACTTCTCTGCTCCTTCGTTCTCCTTCGACCGCCGAAGAAATTGCGAAGATTCGTAAATCTGAACACCGTATCGGGCAAAAGACGGTACGTCGTTGCTTCCAGACGATGGGTATCCTGTGGTAAGTAGTGAGTGTCGCGAAGACGAAGTGGCACTACGACGACGACGACGACGACGAAAACGGCAAACGGCAAACGGTAAACGACAACGGCGCGTGTGTATTACGATCCGAGGAAAAAGCTCTCTCCTCTTCCGCGTTCTCGAGTCCTTGACGGAGGAGGAACCGAAACTGACTCGGGTCTGCGGCTCGCGAGAAACGCTAAGTCCTTCTCCGTCGGGGGCCGGTGGTGGCGCGCTTCTCAGACCGCGTGCGTCTGACTAAAAGCCACCCCCTCGTGCCTTAAAGAACGCGTGTTCGGGTAGGGGCGTTGTCTTAGGTGGTGCGCGGTCGCGAAATTTCTGGCTGCCTCCGGCACCCTTCGCCGGGCACCGTTTTCCGTCTAAGAGACACCCGAAGCGACGCGAGGGTCCCGCGAGGACCCGGGCCCCGGCCCAGGCTCGGCCGACGTCCGACGTCCGACCCTTCACCGGTCCTCCCACGACCAAAATCTACCTCCGAGAGGACGAAAAACTGAGCCTGCTCTAGGACAGCAGTTTTCAAGCCACCCCTCTTTTCCTTCGCCCCCACCAGAAGGCAACGACTACGAGGCGCGCGCTCTACGTCTCCCCCTTTTCCTCGGCGCTCTCTCCGACCCGAGAAGCAAACCACCCCTCTCGGCTTGCTCCTGCTCCTTCTGCCGTGTGTGCAAACCTCCTCGGGTTTCGGTTCTGCGGGGGTGGGGAACTCTCCGCCGACGTCTCCGTAAGGGGTAGCTTTCCTACAAGGGGTGAGAAAGAGAGTAGTGGGAGACGAACCTTCCCTCGTCTCTCTTTCTCCCGTCGCTTTTCCCTTTTTCCCTC